TAATTTTTAATGATAAATTAATAGTGATTGATGAAGAAACTAGTTTAAATGTCATTAATTGAATGACAAAACAAACAAATATAATGAGTAAAAAACCACAACTAAAAAAATAAAATGTTACTAATGAATAGTTTGTAAAAAAAACGTTACTAAATAATTTTTTATTTAATTAATCTACATTATTTTCATCTTTTTTATTATTTATATTTTCCTCAGCTTTTTTCATTATCACTTAGAAGTAATATTCAACAATAAAAAATAAGTAAAGTGATAGTAAAATTATTTAAGATAAAATAATAAAATAAAATTAGAGACCAAACATCTAAATCTTCGAACGGTTTGGCGAGCCTGGGCCCCCGGCCCCACTAGCTCCGCCGATGATCTTGGCTAAGTTCATGTAGTCTCCATTAGTCAAGTCTATATATCATGTCTTTTTTTTTTAGTCAAGTCTATATATCATTTTTTTTTTAATCAAGTCTATATATCATTTTTTTTTAATCAAGTCTATATATCATGTCTTTTTTTTTAATCAAGTCTATATATCATGTCGAGCTCCACCAAGCGGCCACCTCATTGAGGTCGATGGGTTGTTCACTTGATCTGGGGGTCGAATCCCCAGCTGTTAACATCTAACAATACTAACTTACTAACCATTGTCCTTAAGCTGCTTCTTACTCTGTATCATGACCTTGAAGAGCAGCAGGTGCCAATATTTCCCCACAGTAATGTCAATGAGGGAGTTGCAAACAGTAATGTCAATGTGGAGGTTGTTGCAGCCAACATCCTTGCCTTCAAACAAGAGTACACTTCCCTTTCCGGTAGAAGAGGAACTCAAGAGCACTGGCGGTGTGCAGCAGCAAATTGCCCATCAAACCCACCATGATGATACAAAAACAACCAATTTGGACCCAATTCTTAATCAAACCAGTGCAGATGAATTTCGTCCGAACTTAGACCTGACTCTAGCACCACCTGTGGTGGCTTGTGAAGGAAATCAGGCGCCTACAATGGGGTTGTTTGGAACTGAGGCAGAAAACTTCAATCCAAGGATTGTTTTGAATTTAGGTCTTACTCTCGCACCACCCAAAGTAAATTAGGGGCCTTCATTTGCCTTGCTTACTTTGTTTCCCAGACATTAGCTAGATTTTTAATAATCACCCTTTCTTTTCCTTTAATAACAATGTAGTGCTGTAGGTTTTTTTTTTTTTAAACAGTTTACAACTTGGGATGAAAATTTGAATCCCAACTCCATGGCTATAAGTGATGCATCTTAGGATGGGTCCTAGAGTTGTCAGACCACGAGGGTCAAGTATAATGTAGTCTGTAGTTAGTTTATGTTTACTTGGAATAATAAATCCCAATCACGTTTAAACTGCCCATCTTATTTACTTTGGTATATAGTGTTGGTTAATTCTATACTATATTTGCTATATACCACTCATTTAATTTAAAATTATTCCCTTCACTCATAATGGATGGAAAGAAGTTGCTAAGAAAATAGCGTTACAACGTGCTTATCACAACCTAAACTTTCCTAAACCTCCATTTGTTTCAATCGTTATTTGCTTATTAAATATATTATTATTTGTTATTGTCTTATTGGAATTGACTATGGTTAAGAGGAGCCTTCCATTAATTAGTATTTCTCTTGTACATACTTGGTTCTTTTAGGTTTGCTCTCATTAGGCCTTACTGCTTTAATTATTATTTATTAATTTTTATCACTAAAAAAAATTAAAATTTACTTAAATAAATAAATAATTTAGTAAAAAGTGACTAATAAACTTTAAAAAGAATCTAAAAATTATGAAAAAAATGCTAGGCTTTTTACAAATTTTAATGTAGTAGTAAGTATAAATTAAATATTTGATTGGATCCTTTGATATAGCTTTATATATTTTTTCGTACATACTTATTAATTTTTTTTTTGGGTTTCTCGTCCGATATCGGGACTTTGTCCCGACTAATCCGAATTCGACCCGTGTCGCACATTTGAAAATGGTGAATGAGTCTCCCAATGAGGACTGTTGCATACAGTTCGAGATCTTATTTAAGTTGGAATAAACCGCTTACCGCTTGATCCAACTTCTCGTTGATTACATACTTATTAATTGGGTGTTGCAAAATTGATATCATTTCCCCTGTATCGCGTGAATGGAATGTTTCCTTGGTTGAGTGGTGGTTGGCATGTCCATTGTCTCTCTCCTCCCCTGCTGTTTCTCATTCTTTCGATTATTGGGTTTCCCCTGTATCGCGTGGATGGAATGTTTCCTTGGTTGAGTGGTGGTTGGCATGTCCATTGTCTCTCTTCTCTCCTGCTGTTTCTCATTCTTTCGATTATTGGGTTTGACTAATTTG